TTTTTTTTTTTTAGGGTTAAAAAAAATATATTAAAAAACCAGGCTGGATTGGGCCTCATCGGCCGCGGCCGCGACCGAAATGCCCGCGGCCTAGGCCGCGGGTGTCACATAGCCCTGGGATCCAGGGGATTGATTGAGCAGGCAATTGGAGAGAGGGGGGACCTCTTCACCCTGAAACCGGCGCCAGATCCATTCTGCTACACACTAGTTCCTCCCTCCCCCTATGAATGCATGCTTTAGATACCAGGGTAGTAGCTGAACAAGAAATCATACAATTTGAAGCAATGATCTCATCCTACATCCATAAATGACCTTTTTTATTAGGCACCTGCATACCACTGAATCTCGACCATGCGTTCGCTGCCCGCGGGAAGAGATCAAGGAACTCTGAAAAAGGCCGAAGCGGGATGGAGGGGTCAATTCTAGTCCAATCATGAAAGTGGAGGTGGTAGTCCCTTTCCAGCTTTTCCTCAATCCCTCCGCCCCCTCCCTCCCCCCCTTTCCATTGCACATTTGCTATCCAGCCTCCTTGTTCCCCCCCCAGCCAGTCCATACAGAAAGATTTAATTTGCATTGTGATTTATGTTTTTGAGTGTATGAAGGCTATTTTTTCCTTTAATTTTTTCCCATTGAGACATAAGGTCTACATGGATCTGGTGTTGGATTGTCTTTATGACAGCCGGTCCTTCTAGGCGGACTCCTTCCATCTCCCTAATGCACCTTTTCCACCAAATTGCCCAAAAGACTGCTCTACGTCCCAGTGTGAACATGTTTCTCTCAAAATTGATCGCTTGCTCTGACTGCCATGTTTCGTATATAATTGATTTCCAGTTCATTTGCCAAGGGGTTGTTGCGCCTAACCGGCGCCATACTCGATCTCACCATCTCCATAACTAAACTGACCCAGGCCATTGCAAAAAGACGTGTTCAATTGTTTCTAGTCTCCGCCTGACAGGGTATGATGTCTCACCCGGAGAGCAAGGCCCTTCTGTTGTAAAGAGGTTCGGTCAATCAACTAGTCATTTGTGGGCAGACAGCGGTGTTCCACTTGCCATTGCAAGGACGCAATCTTGGCTGGTAATGACTTACTGAGCCTAAACCACTTGATGGGACACAGAGTATTCCTTTCTAAGTTCAGGTGTCTCATTCAATGCTCTGTTACTACATCCCTTAGATTCACCGTTGGACATAGTAGACGGTAGGCTCCCTTTATTGTCGTTGAATGAATCTGATGTTTTCCTATCTTACCTCTACCTAGCTAGGTGGTCTAGACCCAAGAGGCCGGATCAAAGGCTAGGTGTGCAATCGAGGTATCAGGTTTGTACGCACTGTTCCCCTTCCTTCAACACCTTAATTCGAAAGATTTCCTCCTTTTTAAACCACCTTGTCTCTTCCAAATGTGTCCTAACTAATTTATTTTTGTTTTTGATCTGAAAGAGGTTCACCAACACCTCTCCATCCGGGCGGCCGGACACCACCACATTTCCCACTAGGTCCACGCACCCCCTGATCCCTACCCAGTCACTTTCGTCCAGGGTTCGCCCTTTCCTCAGAATCCTCATCCAGTCCAATGGTAACGAGAAAATGATTTTTTCAAGAGCTTCTTCAATATTGTGACAATATCACAACCGCTCTCTCAACTGGGCTTCTGTGATTTAGTCCCTGGTGTCTACATCCCAGATATCCCCCACTCTAAGGACGCCCCGACTTACCCACCCCCTCCAGGGGGTTTCAGTATGGAGAAAGACTGCGCCTTGGGAGTCAGTAACTCACCGGTTCCCAAATAGCGACTGTCTATACACCTCATCCCACCGTCGTGGGGCTACCTTGTCGGGGAGCGGTAGCTTTCGCCACGTGCTGAGAAGTGAGGTCCAAAATGGGTCGTTTTTTATGTCTGTCCTTACCGCTCGTCTATCAGATTCCTGTTTCTCATTGGGTCTCATTGTCTTTCTTGGAACAGTCCAATATTTGTCCTCTAGCCACCTGATGGGGTCTATGCTCTCGGGGGGGGGGGGGGCCAGCCTTCCGATCTGCTGTAGGGCCAACTGTTGCCAAGGGATTTCTGTATCGAAAAGGAGGCTTTTAACCCATTTTAGGGTCAGGGCCATAATCTGTGTGGCGGGATCTAAGATCCCCAAACCTCCTTTGGATTTTGGCTGGATGATTGCACGCCAAGCGACTCTACTAATCACGTTTTTATACTCGTGGTTTCCTCTTCAGAGAAATGCCGCTACCTGTCTTTCGAAAGGACGCAATGTTGTCCTGTTAAGTGACCAGATAGTTGTCTTGTACCATAAGGATGCCAACACCACGTTGTTGATGACAAAGACTCTTCCCATTAATGATGTATATTGATCCTTCCACCGTGTCAAATTTTCCAAGACTGGTTGTGTTAGCCATTTGTCATTGGTTGGTGGGCAACCCTCAGCAGACATCTGTATCCCCAATATTCTCATAGGTGAGTTGGTTGGTACCTATCTTGCCCGTGGAGACTCTAGTGGCCTACACCCCTGGTAATGGATCCACCACCCCTCAGTCTTGCTCCCCCAAGTTACTCTCATATCTGACAGGGTGCAAAAGCAATCCATCAATGTTTTGATTTCTTTCATATTCTCAGGCGATGCGTCTACCATAATGGTGAGGTCATCTGCAAACAATGAGCAAATTGAGACTGCCTCTTCCGGGATAGAGGTTACACGTATCCTTTGGATTTGCTTATGTGCTCTCAGGTTTACTGTCAGTGCCTCCATGATTATAACAAACAGAAAGGGGGCAATCGGGTCTTCTTGACGTACCGAGCGTTTTAAAGAAATGGGGGGGGTCAGCCTCCCATTTACCTGTACGGTGTGGCACTATGATGCCGAATTTCCACCCACCTCCTGAAGCAAAGGCCAAAGTTTAGTTTTTCCAGACATTTGTCAAGGAAGAGCTAGTCCACGTGGTCATAGGCCTTTTCAA